GATGAACACAGCAGGCCAAGCAGCATCGGAGGAGCAGGAATGCTGACGTTTCAGGTCTCTACCCGAAACATCAGCTTTCCTGCTCCTCTGATGCTGCTTGGCCTGCTGTGTTCATCCAGCTCTACACCATGTTATCTCATTAAAAACTCAATCCAGTTAAACACTTTTTGCCTTTAAAAAATCTGTACTGGCTTTCCTATTTAAACAATACTTATCCAGGTGATGTTCAATTTATTTCCAGATTATTGTTTCTAAAATATTGACCACAACTGATGTTAAAATGACCGGCCTCCATTTAATGCTCTCCAGAATTAGATATACCGTGAATAAAGTTGAGCTACAACAGTAGCATTCACTTGACAATATGGAGAATTGCTTGAGTTAGTCCTGTCTGCAAAACCGTAGGACAAACTCGATCTAGTCAATTCCTATCCCATGTGTCTATTCTCAATCAAATGACGAATGTATTGTGACAAGGAATACTGACGCAGCAATAACCTGACCACTCATATTCAGTCTTAGTTCTGTCAGAGACCTCATTACAGACTTGGTCAAAACATGAACTGAAAGAAATTAATTCCAGTCAGAGAATCGGCCCTGGTCATCAAGGCAGCTTTTGTCCATGCATATTTATACTAAAGTTAAAGTTAATGAGAATTGGAGAAAATGTTTTACTGGTTAGAGTCATACCTCACACAAAGGAAGATGATTGTGGCTGTTGGAGGCCCATAATCTCAGTCCCAGGATATAACCTCAGGAAGTCCATAATGTAGTGTCCTAGAGCCAACAACCTTCAGCTGCTTCATCAATGACTGTCCCTCCATCAGGTCAGAAAAGAGATACTTGCACTGTGCAGTACCATTTGCCATTCATCAGGTACTGAGGCAGTCCATGTTCACAAGTAGCAACAGCTAAGCAACCTTCAAGCTTTTGTTGTTGAGTGGCAAATGACACTGAAAGTTTACTTAGTGCAGGGCATTGACCATCTTTATAGAGACAATCCAACTATCTCCCTTTGACATTCAACATCACTAGCATCAATGAAAGACCACCATTAACATTCAGAAATTTAATTAGACCAACTACATAAATGATATGGCTACAAAAGTACAGAGGCTGAGAATGCTTGGCAAGTAATTCAACTCCTGACTCCCCACACCCTGTCCATTATCCACAGAGCACACGTTGGCGTGGGACATAAGATTCTCACTTGTGTGGGTGACAGTCGTTTGAACAACTCAGGAAAGTCAACAGTATCCACAATAAAACAGACCAATGGATAGTTATCTCATTTGCCACATGCAACATAAACTATAGTTGGCTCTGGTATAACGAGTGTTTCTTCAACGTGAATTGGCTTTAACACGATTGAAGAATTTAGACCGCTATTTGTAGAACTTTCCTTACCTGTATTGGCTATAATGATATTCCAGCCCCATTAGGTTAAATGGCGCAGCTATTGAATGATTTTTTTATAACGCGAGATCGCATGTGAACAGAACTATCACGTTATATCAGAACTGACTGTACTTGATGAGCACATTAAACATTTAGTCCCCCCCACCACATGTGCATAGTGTGTTCCATCCAAAAGAAGCAACTCAGAAGCTCACCAAGATTCTTTCCAAACCCATGACATCTATCATCAAGAAAGAAAAGAGTTGGAGGCCTATGAAAATGAAATCACCTCATCATACACTAGCCCGACTTGGCACTGTCATGTCATTCTTTCACTAACACTGGGTCAAAATCATGGAACTCCCTCTCCAACAGCAACATCTGTATATCTACACCATATGAAATGGAGGGGTTCATGGTGGTGGTGAACCATCTCAAAGGCAATTAGGGATGGTCAACAGAAGTGTTGCCTTGCCAATGACACTTAAATCTGACGGGGAAAGGTAGCCATTTAGATAAAGTACTTCCATCATTAAGTTAAAAACAACGATTTACTATTGGGCATCAAGGAAACATAACCGATAAAATGGATCGAGAACACTCAATTTATCAGATGCTTGATTGTTTTAAATTACATTAAGCTTGAGAGAACAAATGGAGCTGCAGCTTTTTCAATCCTTGAAGAAAATTGCAGAACATCATCTTTCACTTCCATGTTTCTACTAGTGCTTCCTTTCATAATGATTTTAAAAATAATTATGCATAACATTAAAAAACCCAGTTCCTGGTTTTGATATTTAAACACTGGAATGAAGTTCTAATGCCATACTTGATACCATAGCCTGGTAACATGCTCACTGTGAACTTATGTTTAATTATAAAAGTCATCATGGAAACAGTTCAAATTTTTTAACTGCTGAGTTCGTTTTTAATCAAAGCAAAATTGAACAGCATACAATTCTATCGAATCAATACCACTGCTAATTTTCATATATTTAATAGTTGCAATTCAACTTTTCAGGAATGTATACAGGTGGATAAAAAAAAGTTGAACTTTCTTTTAAAAGGTTTGAGATTAAACAAACTAATAAGATAGAAAACTTCTGACCACTTCAGAATTAGATTTTTGGAACAGTTCAACAATTATGAATTAGTTCAACAAAAATTCAAAAGCTGCATTTGAACTTATTCCCTCTTGAACTAACTAAATGGTAATACACAATAAATAAGGTGACCTTATATTGGATAACTTATTTTTGTTTATCAATTCTTTCAAAGGGCAACTTGCATTTTGGGATAATGTGTCCATTAGTCATTTCCTGTGTTCATTTCCAGAATGCCACAGCACAGCTGCCAATGTTGTGATGCAACATTTTTCCATCCAGAGTACAAAATGACAGTAACAATTAATTACAACATGACTATTTTCCATATGTGACGAACTATTTAATTTTTCTGAAGTTTAGTTTATTCATGATTGACTGGAATATTTTAAACGTTATCTTAAGACTTAACAACTTTGCTACTTATTAGGAATTTATGCAAATGTGTTTACTGATAAGCTAAAAACAGCTCACAAACCAAACTAAACTAAACTGAATGTGCTGCCATGTTTAATGAAGTATTCAGTTGTCAAAAGTAATTTATTAGCTGAGTCAATAAACTGTCAAACAAAAACAAAACAATAAGCAATGGGGCGATAAAAACAGAAAATGCCAGAGAAACTTAAGAGTTCTGGCAGCAGCTTGTGGAGAGAGAAACTGAATTTATGTTTCAAGTCTCACAAACCTTCTTCAGAAACTTCAAAAATAAATTCTTCACTTCAATTTTTGGCAGTTCAGAAACAAACTTTGAGTGCTTTCTCTTGGGCTGGATCACTCTTTCACATTAAATCTCAATTGGACATATATAGGGTGAAGGGAAATGTAATTCACAAATCCAATGGGAAGATTAAAAGAACTGAGAAATTACAACAAATCAAATTATTTCAAAAATATTTTGTTCCAGTCCAAACCAAGTAGCTTAAGACCAGCAGAATGTTATGATTATATCCAAGTAAAACTTTGTTGCCTATGAATTATCCGATCAGCTCCAAGTGGTGATATCTTGGGGACAGTCCATATCACATTAGAGGTGGTGTTAGACATATTAGAATGAATGAAAGTGGATAAATCTCCTAGTACTGACCAGATATATCCAAGAACCCTGCGACAGGCTGGCATATTTGCATCATCGTTAGCCATGGGTGAGGTCACAGAAAACTGGAGGGTAGCAAATGTTATGCCCTTATTTAAGAAGGGCTGCAAAGAAAAGCCTGGGAACTATAGGCCAGTAAGCTTTACTGCTGTGGTTGGTAAGTTACTTGAAAAGATTCTGAGGGATAAGATATGCATGCATTTGGGTTTGATCAGGAGTAGCCAGCATGGCTTTGTGCATGAGAGATCATGCCTCAGAAATTAGTTTGAGTTCTTTGATGAAGTGACCAGGAAAGTTTTATGAGGGCAGGGTGGTAGACATTGCCTATATGGATTTCAGTAAGACCTTTGATAAAGTTTCATTTGGCAGGTTGCTCTGGAAGGTTCAATCACATGGAATCCAGGGAGAGCTGGCAAATTGGAATCACCATTGGCTTGACAGTAGGAAAAAGAGGGTAATAGTGGAAGGATGCTTGTCAGATTGGAGGCCTGTGACTCGTGGTCTGTGTCAGGGGTCAGTGCTGGGCCCATTGCTATTCGTTATCTATGTCAATGATTTGGATGAGAATGTACAAGGCATGATTAGTAAGTTTGCAGATGACACTAAAATAGTTGGTATCAAAGACAGTGAGGAGGGTTATCAGAAATTGCAACAGGATCTTGATCAGCTGAGGAAGTGGGCTGAGAAATGGCAAATGGAATTTAATTTAGATAAAAGTGTGAAGTGTTGCATTTCGGAAAGTCAAATCAAGATAGGAGCTTCACGGTGAATGGTAGGGACTTAAGGAGTGTAGTGGAATACAGGGGCCTTGGAGTTCAGGTGCATGGTTCTCTGAAAGTGGAATCACCGGTAGACAGGGCAGTGAAGAAGGCTTTTGGTGCACTGGCCTTCATCAGGCAGGGCATTGAGTACAGAAGTTGAAAAGTTATGTTGCAGTTATACAGGATGTTGGTGAGGCTGCACTTGGAGTATTGTGATCAGTTTTTGTCACCTTGCTATAGGAAGGATGTTATTAAACTGGAAAGAGTACACAAGAAGTTTAGCAAGGACAGGGTGAATGCACTCTCTTTTTCCCAGGGTTGGGGAATCAAGGCCTAGAGGGCATCAGATAAAGGTAAGCGGTGAGAGAATAAAAAGAACCTGAGGGGCAACATTTTTTTACACAGAGGGTGGTTTGCATCTGGAATGAACTGCCAGCGGAAGTGGTTGAGGCAGGTACATTAGCAACATCTAAAAGGCATTTGGACAAGTACACGGACAGGAAAGATTTAGAAGGATATGGGCCAAGTGCAGGCAAAAGGGGTTAGTGTGGATGGACATTTTGCTCGGCATGGACCAGTCTGGGCCGAAGGACCGGTATCTGTGTGCTGTGGGACACTATGACTCTACGCAAATGTTCATCAATAGCACCACCAGAGTGCCTCTGCTTTCCTGCGCAGAAGAACTAAATGAGCTAATCACAGTCAAATTGTCCAAATACTTTGATGTTGGCTAGTTATATCAATAGAATATTAGAAGCTGCTACTGGTGGATTCACTAAATAGTGGTTCTCCTCGTTTAGAGAAAGAATGCATGTTAGTTCTTGGTGTCTGGGTGGTGCAAACAATTTAGAATACTACTTTGTTTTAAAGTTTCCAAGTTTGAAATATCTTCTGCAATGACAGGAATGTCTGTTGCTTGGTTGTCAGCCACAGATTCATTCTCGCAATCAGATAGGGAGCAAAGTAGAGCATCATTTTCGTAAGTAGGAAAATAATACCTAAAAACAGAAACAATAACATCATTGCATGAATTGACATTTAAACAAGATATGCAAAATTAACAACTGTGGACCACATATGGTTAACAAAGTAGTGTATTGAAGGTATTGTTTGTAAACCAATTTTGAAATTCTATGAAATAACATCTATGACAGTGTATCACCACTGTAGCTATACGTCCTAACGTCTATCGTTTGGAGGTAGCTCGATACTTAACACACAAAATATACATATCTGTAAAACATAAGACATGAAATGTTCTTTCAATTTAATATGGCTAATTTGCCTTCATTGCTGTGCTTATTTATTTATAAAATTAATGAATAACGGAAACATCACAGCAACAAGAAAATTAGTACAGAACTCTTGAATTATTTGAACACAATCACGTCATTGGAGCATTCCTTCAATTTAAGCATTCTGTAAGAACAGTGCCCTTAATGGAAATGTATTTCTTTCTTGTTTCATTTCACTGGATATGACTTGTGCAGGAGAACAAATATGTCACAGTTCAGTGTCCTAAAAAAGTGCTTAGAAATCCTCTGCCTTTTGCATGAAATTGTCAAATGTTATCTTCAAATTTTCATGAGATATCAGACAGATATGTACATTCCTGTAAGGATTCTGGTACATTGGTCAGAATTGCCTTGGCTAGCTGTGTCATGTTCACTTTCTGATCCAAATCCTAGCCATTCAAATGATCATTAATTATTAACCTTAGTCACTAAAGTCCTGACTACTACCCCAAAGTTTACAGGTCTAGCTGTAATTATAATTTTCACTGCTTCCATTTTCTAGAATTGTTCCCCCACATGTTCTCTATTAATTCTCCTTTATCATTATTTTTACTTTTCAGTTTGTACCTTATCTCATTTCTGGGGTAAATTGTAATTTTACAATACTCTAGATTGAGCTACAGTTGATGTGCAAGGATGATGCAATACAGAGGAGTATGACAGCAGACATCTAGTTTTGCCACTTTTTCTTCATGTTATTCTTGAATGGCTAGTTCAGAGACTTCCAACAACTGAAAAAAAGCTGGTTAAACCAATCTATCATTATTTTGCATCTAACTTCAACAACAACATAGTCAAGGCTGTACAATCTGAACATGTCCCAGATGAAAATATCTATTTCTTTGTGCAGTTCCAGATCCTTGCATATGAGGAAACTTCCTTTTAACATCCATCTGATTAAGTCCCCTTAGGATCTTATGTTTCAATTAAGTCACCTCTAACTCTTCTAAACTCCGGAGGATATAGGCCCAGCCTGTCTAGCCTTTCCTCATAAGGCAATCCACACAGAACACTAAATGTGGGGAAGGCTTGAGGGGCTGAATGGCTTATTGAATGGCTCCTATTTCTTATGTTTTTATTGTTTAACCTTGTTACTAAATTTAGCTAGGACCCACTGTGAAGCTTTGTTTTTTTTGGTCACAGTCCCAAAGTGTCTCCCTTCATATGAAGTAGATACCATCCAGGGCTGACATTAAAATCTGCATTGCCTAGTTTGCTTGTTTGTTTCAGGTTGAGGATTCAGAGATCTGAGAAGCTGAGAGCTCATTCTGGCGATTTTCCTTGACATGTTTTGACACTTTGAATTCCAACCACGGCCATGTTGGGCTTTGCTCATTTATTCTTAAGCGCCTGCCTATGTGGAGATTCTCCAATCTGTAACACCCTTCTCTGATACCTTGCACTGGCTATATGGTAATAATGGGGGAAATATATTCACAGTATTTGAAACTACTTGAATTTAACACTTACTGTGGTTGATCCCAGGCAGATCTCTCTAGCAGTGACATCATGTGGTTTGTTTCAGTCATATGGTTTACGACATCTGCTTTTGAGCTAAACGTTTCCCCACACTTGCTGCATCGGCATTGGTGAATTTCTCTTCTGATAAAATTTACTAATTTCACCTGCTGGTAGAAATTTAAACCTACGAAAAATGGAGGGAATAAAAAAACTCTTTTTTCAGTGTATTCAGGATAAAATACATTCCAGCTCCAAACTGTCACGGAATATTATAATGCACCTCAAAGTAGCAGTAAACACACGAAAATCAATTACATCAAAAGACCAAGTGACCCATCAAGTTAGCTTCATAACGTTCTTAGGTTTAAAATGTTATTTTGTAAAGCTTTCCTCAGAACTTTGGAGATTAAGTTTATCAATTTATAGAATGGTGTCACCCGGGTGGGGCGGTCACTGTTTCTGTTGTTTAATGTTTAAACTGCCTACAAGCAATATTTTGCCGCTACTGACTCTGGTTTGTTTTTACAGTAAGAGTCTTAGAATGAGAAATATTTCTGTGCAGTCCTTGGAGTTATTCACCGGGAAATTTTTATCTCTTTATAAAGGTTATCAGTCTTGTCATGAGTATGGATCAGACTGCCAAATCTGTTAAGATCGAGCCAGGGAGCAATTTTTAAAAAAAATGTCAACAAGATGTGAGATCTAGGTACTGACAGAGTAAAGAAACATGACTCTATGGTTTTCAACAAACAAACACAGAGCTTACTACATAAATTTAGAAGAGTATTACAAATCAACAATATACAACTTACCCCAACATCCAAAATTAACCAGATATAAATACATAAACTGCTGAACCACCCTCAAAACAAGAAACAAGTGAGGTCAAGACGGATTCCACGGATTTATCAGCAACCTCCCAGACATGAATGAATCACGGACAAAACTCTACCTGAGATTCAATTTCTTCTCTTTTGGAGATCAAGCTTCAGAACTACCTCAAAGATCATTCTGTCACAGAATTCCTCAATGCCTGATCATGTTGGCACTTCACCCTCCTTTCCTAGGATGGCATTCCACTGGATGCATGAAACTACACTCGAGCATCAACGTGCGGGTACAACTCCGTTTTGTTTTGCTGATAGCTAGCTTCACCAAGCAAATAGATCTCTGGGTTTCTCCAAATTCTAAATTTTCTCAGCTGCATGAAGCAAATATTGCTTCTGGATGTCTTTCATCCCACTGTTAAACCCCACTGAACTAAAAATTATTCATAGGCTTCTGTGTGCCATCACCCAACACCCCACATACACTTCACTGTAGTCTCTTTATCACTGATTGCTGGTTTATACATTTAAAATAGATTGCGAAGAAGTATTTCACCAGTCAGACTTTAAATAAAATCTTTATCCTTTGCAATTTTTTTTATACCTCTATTTTTCAGCCAGAAAGTTTTTAGCTGATACAAAGAAGATGGTCTGAGAACCTCCGTTCTAGGCTAATAGAAAAATTGCTGGAGCATTGTAGCCAATTTGTCTCCTCCATTCCTGTTGAGAATCCCTCAATGTCTACTGACTACCTACACATTTGATGTTAGGAATTCACAGTATGGGAAGACTGGGTGGAAATTTGTATCAAATGTTTGGAGAAATTACATCAACATGGCACTGTCAATAAAGCAATAGCAGAAAATATAACCAAATGATATCACGAACAATGTCTGTAAATACAATAGATTAAAAAGTAATAATATATATACATACCCATTTCAGATTTCAATTTTGGAAAGTCAAATTGATGAGCCACCTACAAAATAGGGCACGCAGTTAAGGTCAAATATGACAGTAACAGGTAAGAATAAAATTGCGTCAATATCATACTGGCATGACAAGGTGAAGGGGATGGGGGTTGTGGGGAGGGGGGGTGGGGGCGGGGGTGGGGGGGGGGGCGGGGGGGGGGGTGGGGAAACGCTGAGGTGAATTGGCTGCCATCTTTTTAACTACCTTAATCAGCTCAAACAGATATTTTAAGTCCTTTTCAGCATGCAGATATATCACGCTATAAAGCCTTCTGAGAATTAAAACCGAAACACGCAAAAGGAGTGTCTCACCCTATAATCTCCAAAATGAATGTGAAAAACGGTGTTACCTGCCTTTCAGCAATTCCTAGCAGTTAAATAATAGAAACCGCTGATACTCACCTTAAAATCAATGAGTACCAATTAGTTGGCAGTTGGCAGTTAGCTCTAGGGTTTTATCCAACTGCCCCTTTTTTATACCCTTGATGACATATCAATACTACTTCCAATAGGATTGGTCCTATGTTGTCAAAACCATCAAATTGAAATTTGATAAGTTTTTGGTATCTAAGTGCCTGGTTCAAATCGATTGGTTAAATTCAAAACTTGTTGTCTTGGTAAAACTGCTGCTTGGCCTGCTAACTGTATGGCCTTTTGATACAAATGTTTCCATTTGGGTGCTCTCTGTCTCCTTGAAAACTTTCAAGCTGCTGCTCACAGATGTCCATTTTAAACCTCAAAGCATTGAAAAAGCATATAATCTTTTAAAGGGACCACACAAAACCTTCCCCCGTCAAGCATTCGACAAACATCAAATTCTAACTTCCTGCCTCACAATGCACAAGTACTCTACCCAACTTCACAACACACACCTCAATTAAAATACAGTTTACTATGTCAAAATGAAGGAGCCAGCTACAAGGTTGCTAATTAACCTGTGAGAAATAATAAAAAAAAGACATTTAGGACACACACAAACATAGGTATAACATTTCAAAGAGGAAGAGGTTCTGGCATAAAATAAAATAGAAACACAAAGTATTTGAGAAACTCAGCGTCTGGTACCATCTGCAGAGCGAGAAACAGAGATAAGATGACCGAGGGTTCATTAGATATACCGAAATGTGGGTGCTGAAGTGATACTCCTGATAACATTTAAAATTTTATGTCTGAGAGTTTTGTTCTCTATGAATATACAACTGCAATGCCCAAGGATATTGTTGAATGGGACTCCAAGATTTGTTAAGAATTTATGGACAGTTATTTGTTAGTGTTTGAAGCTACAACAGAAACTAGGATGAAACTGAACAAGCTCTATTTGCTACACCCTCATGTGATGAGAAACTTCCATTCCAATACTCGGGTGGACTTAAATCTTAAAAGAAATTAATTAATAAGACTATTAATTAAATCTTCTCCACCCACTCCCAATCTGCCAACCTTTTTAATACCCTGGATGTTATTAATATTGATATTTTAGATATGTAACTATTTCATAGAATGCTCTTATAAATTAAGTGACAGTGTTGTAATCAAATTCAAATTTCATAGTGGGGAATAGAATTTAATGTTAATACACACCTTAAATTATAAGCGCTTTAACTGTATTTTATCCACTTTATATATTGCTTTTTTTAGTTTTCTCATGTGTTGTCTATTTTTCTCCTATTGATAGGCCATCCAGCTTCATTACCATAAGGTACTATTTGATCCATGTGGGGGAACCATAAGCTAAAATAACCACATTCTTTGAATGACACCCAAATTAAGATATTATCAACTAGATTCCACATTATGTCACTTTCTTATTAAAATGAAAATAAATTAACATAAATTGATAGACAAATAACACTACAAATAAAAGTATAAATGACATTAAATAATATCTGTACACTCTCTATACATTAGGCTTGGGAATTCTTTCCGACAATAGTTTTCATGTTCAAGTTTCATGGGGGTACCATTATCATCAGCACATTTCTACAAATCTTCGCCTCCTTGGGTCACCACAGTCCTGATGATGTAACCTTCCCAAGTTCCTTTTCAATTGATTAACCAAAACAAATCCATTTTGACCACTTCTGGGAAATCACCAGGCTCCTTAGTGCCTCAAAGCTATTCACACAGTCCCCTTTAAGCTTTCCAAACAAAAAAAAAACCTCTTCTTGAGAGTAATTTGCTTCTCTCCTTGGAAGAATGCTGTGTTTTACTTTATACCTGAAATAACTAGACAGGCCAAATCCTGTCACCAAGTCACCCTTTATTTATATGTGCATCCTGTAGCCAGGCAGCCAGCTCAGAGTCAGTCCCTGAAGTGAGGAAATTCTAAATCCCTGTTTAGATTGGTCACCCACAGCTTCCTGATTGGCCCAGGTTAACAACCTCAATCAAGGATCTCATAGTCAATAAGTTTCACCTGGTTCCAACCACTACACCATCCTCTGTTAAGTCCAGGGAGGTAGGCCTGGTCTTTCTCCAGTACCTTCTCCTGGACCATTTTTGCTCTAGGTCCGGTTCCTCTGACACACACACACACACACACACACACACACACGGACACGGACACGGACACGGACACAGTTGGTGAGTACCGGACCATTACTCATATCTTGCGCCTTAAGAAAGTTTTCTCCTCTTCTTCCAGCAGTAACAGTATTGAGGCTGCATCCATCTCAGACTTGGAG